ACTACTAGTTTGGGTTTAATACTTAAAGAGAGATCAGATCGTATTTATATTATATTAGCTCAACGTGGCATCCGTTATGAATCGAAAGATATTAAAATCCCTAATACTAATATCATTACTAACAAGATACATACTTCCGTCGTATTTGGATCTTCTGTATAGCAAACTATGATATGCAAAAGCGCGCATCTTAAAAGATAGAAAGGAGGCGATGTTCTGGATTAATTACGCCGAACGAACGCCAAATCTGCGTTACTGGCTAATAAGATGTTGACAAAACAAACACATTCTATGTTAATGCAATTATAACGCTATTGGCGGTCAGGAAATAGCGAATAGTTCAGCGGGAAGGCCGATAAGGAAATTGGAAGTTGCAAGGGGTGAGAGGGATGGCAAACTATTTCGGATCTTTCATTCAAGTTCTCGGTGCAACCATAAATGTCAAACCTTTTTATTGACGCCCACGAGAAACATGTGCTAATAAGAAACTATTTCCCACACATCTATTTCCCTACTCAACTCGAAACTCAAACTATGCCCGACGACACATTAAACGGATCGCCAACAACCACTGTTCCAGATCTTCGTCTTCTCGTAGTGTCTAACCGCCTACCGGTGACCATATCTAAAAATGAAAAGGAATATAGCTTCAAAATGTCTTCTGGCGGCTTAGTGAGTGCGTTGAGCGGTCTAAAGAAGTTAATGACGTTTACGTGGATTGGTTGGCCTGGTCAGTCTTCTGAATTAAAGAATTAAAACACGTAGACTAGAACGATGTACGAGAACGTGGCGGTTGAATTGATTTTCGTGGTCCGTTTAAATGTTACCATGTAATCAATTAATCCTCACTTGAGTTTTGTCTTAATTTCGTTAAGACTCCTATTCTCTCTGTCTGATATGTTCCAATTGATGATCTATGTGGTAGGTATCAATGTGCCTGAGGAAGATAGAACCCATATGATTAGCAAGCTGGAAGAAAAGTCTTGTCTGCCCGTGTTTATCGACGACGATGTTGCCGATCGTCATTATAATGGCTTTTCAAACTCCATTTTATGGCCTCTTTTCCATTACCACCCTGGTGAAATCTCTTTCGATGAGGACGATTGGGAAGCTTACCAACGTGTCAATAGTATGTTCGCCGAGTCTGTCGCTCAAATAGTACGAGATGGGGATTTGGTATGGGTACAAGATTATCATCTGATGCTACTTCCGAGTATGCTCAGAGAGAAAATAGCAGGCGTTAAGAATGTGAAGATTGGATTCTTCCTACATACACCATTCCCTAGTAGCGAGATCTATCGGTATGTCAAGTCGCCAGTTGAAGAGATTAACTGAAAAAGGAGGGTTACGTTCCACTTACCCGATCATTGTCAACGTTTAGTATTTTGCCTGTCCGCAAGGAAGTCTTGGACGGCGTTTTATCCTCTGATTTGATCGGGTTCCATACGTATGATTACGCAAGACATTTCTTGTCGTCTTGCACTCGGATATTAGGATTATCAACTATGCCTAATGGCATCGATTATGAAGGCAAACACGTGCATGTTGGAACTTTCCCAATCGGCATTGATCCGGAGAAATTTGATGAAGTAAGTTTAAGAATACATTAATTGGTTTCGCCTTAGGTAATAACGTGACGTTTAAATTCGTACTGCTGGCTTGCAGGGTCTGAAGAATCCAAGTATTCAAGAACGGATTAAAACTTTAGAAGAAAAATTCAAAGGTGTCAAGCTTATCGTCGGAGTTGATCGGTTGGATTACATCAAAGGGGTTCCGCAGAAATTCCATGCTCTAGAAGTATTCTTAAGTAAACATCCTGAGTGGATAGGAAAAGTTGTCCTCGTACAAGTCGCTGTTCCTTCCCGTCAGGATGTGGAAGAATATCAAAACTTAAGAGAGGCAGTGAATGAACTGGTTGGGAGAATCAATGGACAGTTTGGCACAGCAGAGTTTATGCCTATCCACTTTATGCACAAGTCGATTAATTTCGACGAGTTAGTTGCATTATACGCTGTTGCTGACGCGTGTCTTGTATCCTCAACAAGAGATGGAATGAACCTGGTGTCATACGAGTATATTGCATGTCAGAAACAAAGGCATGGCGTGCTAATACTTAGCGAGTTTGCTGGAGCGGCACAGTCACTGAATGGTAGAAAATTTGAGTTGTCCTTGTTAACGAAAGAAAGACACCGTTAAAGTCATCTCTAATATTTTTGATGGGAATCAATATAGGATCTATCATAGTCAATCCATGGAATACCGAAGAACTTGCAACTGCTATTCACGAAGCAGTTACAATGTCAGAACCTCAACGTACTTTAAATCATCAGAAACTATATCGATACGTAACGGATGCCACGTTGAGCTAATATAATATAAATACGATCTGATCTCTCTTTAAGTATTAAACCCAAACTAGTAGT